TTTATGTGCCATAGTTGGCAAGGTTTTACATGCTAATATAATTTGCATTAAAAATAGCTGGAAATGGTAATAGTCATTATAATGCCTATTTGACCAAGAACAAGTAATGGCTTGCGCTTAATCAGTTGTAAAAATTGGTAATTGTTGCACCCTCTTAATCTTTTTCTCTCTCAACCAGAATAATTACACCTCGTTAAAATCTGAATAAAACATCATTATCCTGTATCATTAGGAACCCTCAGCCTCCCTTGCATAGTAATTTGTACTCAGCCTGAGCAAATGAATGGCCCGTGAGAAATGTTATTTTAATTCCAATTAGCTCTCAAACCTTGGCAAGTATCCAACTCACAAAACAAAATAGCTTTTAATGTTATAGAAGGAGCATCCTCACAGCAAACTGAAGTGCAATTAGGGATTCCTTTAAATTCCACATCATAAATTGTTCCCCTATTAGCTATTTTAGATACTGTAATTTAACTAGTGTTTATTCACAGTCCCTAACAATTTATCACAATCAGGGCATTTTTAATGGAAAGACGATATGTGCTGCTTAGGATACATCAGGGCAAAGAAGGCAAAATAATGAGCATTACAATTAATGCGAAACATTAAAAAAGACACCCCATGTAAATGTCAGAAAGTTCATTATAATGAAAATCTGAATGCTTTATTAATGATAGAACTTACAGTGTGGTGCAAGCTTGTCATAAATGCATTTAATCCCTGACAAACAAAACAATTTTACAGGTTTTTTTGTATATTTTATTGAAAATTACAATAAAGGCTTTTTAAATAAAAAAGTTTTTTGCTGGTTTAAAAGACATACAGTGATATTCTTTATAGGTGGATGCATTACCAATCTACTGTAAATACACTGGCTGATATGGACACTATAGTTCAATTCTTTCTATAAATACATTTTGTCTCGAGTAACAAACAGAATATTAAATACATAATGTATGTAAAGCCAACACTTTTTTAAACTTTAAATAGAATTATGAAAACTAGAACATATGTTTGTATTTTTAATTGGTATCTTTGTTCCCCATGGGGTGATTCATCTGATGGCCAATGTTTTTTTTAAAAAGTGATGGGAAATTCAAAAGTAACAGGAGGTGAAGGAAAGTTTTCCCTGGCTTTAGGGAGAATTACTCTTACTCCCTGTTTGGTATTTTGAACAGGGAGTGGCAGAGCAACAAAATGACAAATTACAATTTTGAAAAAAAAAAAAAACATTTTCTAATTTGTTATAAAAAATATCCAATAAACTCATAAATTTAGGCAAAAATGTATTTTGCTACATGTCTTTGGTAAAAACAGTCCCAATAAGTGTATATTAATTAGTTTGTGTGAAAATTATAGCATCTACAAACTATGGTTTAAATACTGGAATTTACACAACTTTTACTTTCTGACTCCTCTCAGAGGTGCTAAAATGCTAAAATGCCAGGACAGTACAAACACCCCCAAATGAACCCTTATTGGAAAGTAGACATCCTAAGGTATTTGATGAGAGGCATATTGAGTGCATGGAAAATTTATTTCCACGTTTTTGGAAAATGGCAAAAAATTATTATTATTTTTTTCACACAAAGTTGTCATTTAAATGGTATATTACTCACATATGCCATGGGTATATTTGGAATTACACCCCAAAATAATTTTTGTTACTTCTCCTGAGAATGGGGATACCGTATGTGTGAGACTTTTTGGGAGCTTAGGAGCATGCAGAAGCCAGAATCCAATGACCCCTTTGAAAGCCTGATGGTGCAAAAATTCCTCATTTCACAGTTTCACATCACTATTTCAGAGGCTCTGAAATTCCAGAATAGCACAATCCCCCCCCCCAAAAAAAAATGACCCCTTTTTGGAAAGTAGACACCCCATATTATTTTCTAAAAGGCTTGTTGAGTCAATGGAGTACTGTATTTTTTACCACAAGTTATTGGAAAATGACAAAATGTATTTATTTATTTTTACTTACACAATGTGTCATCTACATGATATATTGCTCACACATGTCATGGGTATATGTGGAATTACACCCCAAAATAAATTCTGCTACTTCTACCAAGTATGGGGATACCACATGTGTGAGTATTTTTGGGAGCCTAGCCACGTACAGGAGCCCGAAATCAATTGACCCCTTTGAAAGCCTGAAGGTGCATAACGTCCTCATTTCACTTCTTCACTACCTATCACAGTTTCTGAGGCCCTGGAATGCCAGGATAGCACCAACCCCCCAAATTACCCCTTTTTGGAAAGTAGATACCCCAAGGAATTCAATAAGAGGCATGGTGAGTATTTTGCAGATCTTATTTTTTCTCACAAGGTTTTGAAAAAGAAAAAAAAAAGAAAAAATAAGTTACCACCTTGCATCCACCCACTTCTAATGTTGGGTATACATGAAATGTTCTTTTTTCCCCTTTTCATTTCGGGCTGAACGAAAAAAAAAAAAAGAACCCAGCACATTCCTCTATTCACATTCGGCGTCTGGTCTCCATGGAACATGAGTTCCTGAGCACTCCACATTCTGCTTCGGAAAGAGTTGATATGGCTCATCTAAGGTAGAATGGGTGTTTATAATACAACCAGGCATTGACCTAAGAGGAAAAGAAAGATATGGAGTGTCTATAAGAAGTGGAGGAGAGAAATAGAGATGATTTATACACAGGCTATTTTTAAAGAAAACTGGAGGGGAGAGTTCTGGGAGCACTAAGGTGGCACAAGATTGCACAAAGTGGATATTAAGCATGAACACTTTCAAAATCAGTGGTATTGGTCACATGGGCTGATCTATACAAGCAATTGTTTGCAATTCTTTGTTATGGATGGTTTGGATTAATATTTTATTTTTGCACAGCATTACGCTATATACCAAGTTTAATGTTTATTATGCTGATATGTTTTAGATAGCAGCACTACATAATTTTTTTATATTATGCACTTACGTATATTCTGGGAGCACCCCCTGTTGCTGTCAGTATAAACCGATTGATGCTGCAGCCGAAAGGCGTTTCTGTAAAGAAAAACAACAACGGCAAACAATAAAACAGTGACAATAGAACAGTAACGTAAAACAAATTTTTTATTGAAATCTGTGCTAAAAAAAAATAAAAAAATGTTGAAGCATAGGAGCAATCCACCCACTGGCCACCCCAGGCCCCCATGCTTGGGCAAATATGTTCTTTTTTAAAATGCGGATGAAAAATCTCATCCAGCAGTGCTGCACACATTGACGTTTATTCTGAGAGCACATCCTGTTGCTGTCAGACTAAACAGATCAGTGCTGCAGCTGAATGGTGTTCCTGCAAAGGAAACAACAATAGTTAACAATAAACAGTGACAATAGAACAGTAATTCAATAAAACCATTTTTATTGAAACCTGTGCAAAAAAATATTATAAAATATATATGCCGAAGCATAGTAGTGATCCACCCACTGGCCACCCCAGGCTCCCATACTTGGGCATGTATGTTCTTATTTAACTCTGGATGAAAATCCTCATCCAGCAGCGTTGCACACACTAACATATATTCTGAGAGCACATCCTGTTGCTGTCAGAATAAACAGATCGGTGCTGCAGCTGAATGGCATTCCAGAAAGAAAACAACAATAAAACAGTAGCAATAAAACAGTAACTCAATAAAACAACCATTTTTAATTTTACTTTTTTAACCACTTGCCTACAGGGCACTTATACCCCCTTCCTGCCCAGGCCAATTTCCAGCTCTCAGCGCTGTCACACTTTGAATGACAGTGGCGTGGTCATGCAACACTGTACCCATATGAAATTTTTATCATTTTCTTGTGACAGATAGAGCTTTATTTTGGTGGTATTTAATCACCTCTGGGTTTTTATTTTTTCTTAACCTCCCTGGCGGTATGATCATGTCAGGAATTTTGTGCTGAAAGCGGTACCATTTTTTTTTGCATGGAAATATGTAGTTTTTAATTGTAGGCTGTAATTTTTTAGGAATAACTCACTGAAATCTGTCCGAACAAGAGTCTATTAAACATTCCGGATATGATAAAACTTGAAACACAAAATCATAAATTATAATTTAATTAATAATCATAAAAAAATAATAATATAATAATAATCAATTTAATTCAATAATATAATCAAACCAAAAACACTGAAATTTGAAATACAGAGGCAAATTCGCACATCGCTGAGCAAAGTCGCAAAATCGTTTTCAGTGTCTGATGACGAATTTCCCCACAAATCATTATCACTCAATTCTGCAAGTGGTTCTGATTTACTATCGCTGTTCTAAAACCGCTTTTGATGTAAAGGGACGCTTTTTGGCCGCCATGGACTTTTCTAAGTTTCCAGGCAGAAAGAACAGTCAAAATGCAGGCAGGGCACAGGACAAAGCAGTGGGGACAAAATGTATGTGAAATGCATTGAAAAAGCAATGACAGCAAAAATGTCATTTTTTAAAAATTTCAAATTTCCCGCCGGTTCCGCCGCCCGAATGTTCCGACGTCACGGGGACCGGAACACGGAAGTCAGATGCCGGCATCCGCCGGAGGAGATGGACGGGGACGCTGCAGGGGACACATCGTGGGAGCGAAGGACAAGGTAAGTGCTGCAGGGACCCCCAGAGAACGCTGCATGGTAAGCCCGAGTGTAGCTCGGGGTTACCGTTCTTGGTATAGAAATTCTACCCCGAGCTACACTCGGGAAAACCGCTAAGGAGGTTAAACAAACCAAAAACCACTGAAAATTTTGAAAAAAAAACCCTGTTTCTTTTTAGTTTTTGTTATAAAATTTTGTAAATAAGTGATTTTTTCTCCTTCACTGAAGTGCACTAATTAGGCTGTAGTGATGGCCACTGATAAGATGCACTGATGGACACTGATAGGTGGCACTGATGGGCACTGATGAGGAGGCACTGGTAGGTGGCACTGATGGGCATTGACAGGCATCACTGATGGGCACTAAAAGGCAGCACTGATATATGGCACTGTTAGGTGGCACTGACTGGCACTGTTAGGTGGCACTGACTGGCACTGTTAGGTGGCTCTGACTGGCACTGTTAGACAGCACTGATAGGTGGCACTGATTGGCAGCACTGATAGGTGGCACTGATTGGCATTGATAGGTGGCACTGACTGGCACTGATGGGTGACACTGAAAGGCAGCTCAGATGGGCACTGATATGTGGCATTGATGTGCTCTGGTAGGCATTGATATGTGGCATTGATGTGGCACTGATGGGCACTGGCAGGTGGCACTATTTAGCACTGACAGCTGGCACTGATGGACACTGACAGGTGGCATTTCTGGGGCCACACTGATCATCAGGGCACACTGATCATCAGTGCCCTGATGATCAGTGTACATGTCCCCTCTGCGGAATGCTGATTACCGGCTCTCCTTTCCTCTCCAGCTGTCAGCGTGACAGCTCGAGAGGAGAGAAATGCCGATAACCGGCATTTCCCTGTTTACATGTGATCAGCTGTGATTAGACACAGCTGATCACATGACCGAGCCAACATCTTCGGCTCTTTCCATGGATCGGAGATCCGCTGTGTCCGAGGGACACAGCGCACCACCGATCACCGCGCTGCACGCTCCCTGAGCCGCGCATGCACGGTGAGAATGGAAGGCCGTCATATGACGTCCTATCAGAACGAGAGAACCACCTTGCGCCCGTCATTGGACTATATGGTGGGTGGAAAGGTGGTTAATGTTTTTTAAATTTTTAAAACTTTTTAAAACTTTTTTTAAAACTGAAAACTCCAGATGTTAGGGTCTCTTAGAATGCGATAGCCAGTTTCCTGACTACCTAACGTCTCTCAGGACCCTTTGTATACATGTTCCCTAGACTGTGCCATGCTGTACCCTATATTAATATTCCACTAGTGTGTGGAAGCACTCCTTGAGATAGAGATCAGGATGGCCAGGACAGGAGCGACAAAAATAGTGAGTGTCATGCCTAATTCCATGTCTGCTACACACACAACATCCTTTTTGGGGTGAATTTTTGGTTGGGGTACCAGGAATGACATTAGGAAAATACCTCTCATGCAGCCAGCTCACTGCATCTGGGCTGGGGGTTTGGGCCACAGCACCTTCTGGATAAAAATGGGCCGTGATGATCTCTTCCTGAAATTTTAGGAAGGATCCACTTCATCCAGTTGCTTTGTAAAGCACAAAAGCATTGTACAGAGCCAATTGAAATAAATATTCAGACACTTTTTTTGTACCAGCGTATGGATTTATGGGAAACTAAGTACGGCTTCACCATCTGGTTGTTGAAGTCCACCCCTGCCATATTAAGGTTATAGTCATGGACACAGAGGGGCTTCTCAACAACAACACCAGCTGCCATGGAAATTTGGAAGGTTGTGTCTGCGTGAATGGAAGACAGGACGAAAACATCCAGTTTGTCCTTCCATTTTTACTGCAAGCAGTTCATTATTTTTCAAGCAGGCTTTCAACCCCTTTCTAAAACAGGCATGTACAAGCTGTTGGACGAAGCCCTGGTTATTAGGTTGCACGGTGCCACATGCGCCATTTCCAAGATTGTACAAATGTCTAAATAGTGGCACACTTGTATAAAAATTGTCCACGTATAAGTGTTACCTCATATTGAAAAAGGATGACACCAGGTCCCAAACTGTCTTGCTACTGCTCCCCATGTAGCCTGGGCATCCGGGGGGCTCCACGTGACTATCTTTTCCCTTGTAAATTCAAAAATTAAATGTATAGCCTGTTGTCCTCTCACAGGTCTTATACATTTTGACAACATATCTGGCATGCTTGCTGGGGAGAATTTTTTAAATGCAAGGCAGCCAGACAAATTAATAAGGGACACGTCAATGCAGATGTTTTACTGGGGAGTATACACATCTGCAAATTTATGGTTAAGGTGATTTACAAGGGGCCGAATTTTGTGGAGCCTATCACCCTGAATTGCATATACCATAAATTGCATTATATTCGCATATCTATGCCTGGCCATGGCAGCAGAGAACACGGGCATATGATGAATCAGGTCTGTGGATCAATACAACCGCAACTCATTCTTTTAAATAATGCCATGTTGAGGGTTAGGCCCAAAAAAAACTTTAAATTCAAAAACCGTAATCAATTCATACAGATCTTCCATGAAAAAAGCTAAACAAAAAATCAAGGAGAGTAGGTAAATTTGCTGTTTCCACCTGAATTCCGGGTTGGTCAGTGAAAGGGGGAAGTACGGGTGCTCCAGAATTTGTGGGCTGACAATCAGGATTTGCAAGCACATCCAAAAGGATACTAGGGGGTCTATGGGTCTGTGTTTAAATTTTTAGTGGCTGCAGGACACTATTTGTGCTAACCATCGCACCAGCTTCTACTGCAATTATGGGACTCATCATGTCACCAAGTGATACTACAGTGCTGGTATATAAATGACCAGGATGTACTAGGACGCTAGTGCTTGCCAGTTCACCAAAAGGTAGAGTGGCACTAGTACTGGCACTCTGCTGCATATGAAAATCATCATGCAATTGCAACACTTCAGCAACCTGGGAACAGGGTTGGGTACATCTGACCTTGGCAGGGACCTCTACTCCAACATCTGAGCTGTCAGGGTGCCGCTGCTCTCCACAGGTTCATATTCTGAGCCTGATTCTGTCAGTGAGGCTTCCCCTTTGCTCTCATCTGACATACTCAGAATCCTGTAGGCCTAGTGTACCTTTTCTTGGACATTTTGGCCACTAAATGTATAGGAAGCTAGTGCGACTCATGGGAAAAAGAGCACCTGGCTGTCAGGGACTGCTTGAACCCCTACAAAAAATTTTACCTGCTAGTGCCAGCAGAGATCAGGACTGATCTTGCTAACCCTGCAGTTTTGTATCAAGTGATAGTGATCTACTGACACTGCACTTGCTGGGGGAGAAGGAGGGGTTAAGCGTAGGGGCTAAATGCAGGTGCTGGCAGGTGTCAGGGCTGATCCTGCTAACACTGCATTTTTGGGGACACTATACTATTGTGAACGCTGGTATAGTTCTGATCTGATTAAAGATATTGATCCGGTCAGACGTTATCCTAGCAATGGAGGTTTATTGTGTATGTGAGCGTGTTCCTGGCAATAAAAGGGTTAAATCTGATGACTGATGTAATGGCAGGAAATCTGACTCTATCTGAAAGGGACGCTAACTGACACTAACGCTATCTGAAGTCGCCCATGACACTAATACAGTGACCAGTAAAAAAATCTGTACACTGTACTAATGACACTGGTGACAGGGCAGTGAAGGGGTTAACTGGGGGATGATCAGGGGAATAATGTGACCTAGCAGTGCTTTTACTGTAAATCTGCTTTCATCTCTCTCTGGAATGGAAAGTGCTCCAGGGAAAGAAGATTTCATCATTTCCTGTGCCTGTGTAATCTAAACACAGGCACAGGCTGAGCTCTGATTTGATACAACTGATCAGCAGATTCCGGCCAAACATAATTGGCCTTAATCTGGTGAGTGATTGGTTCTGTACTGAATCAAAGGCACTGCTGGGTCATCGGGGGAGTGCACGCACCCCCCTGCCCATGAACACAGCAGTAAAACTGCTATAGGGTGGAGGGCAAGTGGTTAAAGGAAATCCTGTATACATGAGAATCCTGTGTGCCATTTACCTCTTCTTACACAGTGTCAGAAGCCAGCATAGTAACATACTCCCCGCCTTTGTTTTGATCCAGAGGGCGGAACACACAAGCCCCTCACTTTGACACCTCTATCACTGACAGGGGTCCAGTCTTGTCTGACATTACTTTTTCCTCAAGAGGAACGCTACCCAATGCCTCTCTCAACAACCCACTGACACTGTTATGGGCTATAATTGAGACTTTCTGGTGTGCTTCCACAAGCGCTTCTTCTGAAAACTTAATGGGGTCCTACTGCTCTCTCTACTGCCCCTTTTACTTCCTTGCTTTGGGTTTCTGGGTTTCCTGATACCTCCCTCAGAATTACAGTCCTAGGGTTTAAGGAAGCTGACTTGTATAGTATGTGTTACGGAACCACCCCTCTTATCACCTATTTCAGCTTCAGCCATTCCCAACTGTTTCCAGATTTAACAGCACCTGTGCAGGTTACCCTTTGCAACCAAACCATCAGAGATTAACAACACATTATACTATTTATCATTTAAAGTCTTGCTCAGCAGCAAAGTACACATCTCCACACACAAACAGTGTTTGTTAGAGCAGAGAGTACTCACACAGTGGACGTCACCCACAGCGACTTCTAGAGATACCAACTCCACTGCTGTCACACACCTGACATTTAGCATAGCTACTTATTTTTAGATTGTAACCACAATCTTTTTACCCACTTCAGTGTCCTCTGATAGTGTAACCAATACCTCTTTATTAACAAATAAACTAGTGGTACTCCGCAGTACCAGCTCATCCGACTGAGGAGTAGTAGACACCCAGGAATATAACAGCTGTGCATCCCAGAGTGTAAGCATTTCCTTCCATTTTAACATGTCTGTCATAATGGGGAACCCCAGATTCACACTCAAGAGCTTCCAGTTACCTGGGATATAGACTCATTTTCTGAAACTCCAGATGTTACATTTCTTAAACGGGCCTCCTCCCAGCTAGAGGCAACTGTTACAACTGCCTGGTGCTCTCGCAGAGTACCGCCAAGTGCGTAACTCACTACCAACCTCTCAGGTTAAGTGTCAATGAGCTGCTCCAGACTTGACCAGGGACATTGTCAGTTTGGTACTACCCATCATTACCTCTTTGTTGGGTCATGAACAAAATCTCTGCTGTGTGCTCGCCCTTATATGGCCCTTCCATCTTGCGAGTGATACCTTCTGAATCAGCAAGCACACCCTTGACTAAAGGCTGCATTACAGACCCTTTTTCTTGCACAGCAAATATAGTGTCCATCTCAAGGTTACACACCAAGGCCTTTTCAATGATAGATAGCATGTTTTTTGCCCAACTGTCCAAATCTATTTTACCTGTGCTCCAAAAAGAAATATGAAACAGTACTGCTTTATCTGCTCAAGGAGACACAGAGGGACAGAGTGGCTCAGCATCAGACAAATTGTATTTTTCCTCTTTAGACATAAAATTTTGGAACATCACATAATTAGATATAACTGGTTGCATTACCATACTCTCACCATTCTGAACTGGTGGTGCTTAATTAACCACATGAACACTTATGTCCTTTTAGTTTTTAGCTTTTGCAGGCTATTATAATTCATTATCAGCTAGAGATGGTGGCTTGTTTAACACGTGTATTTTTTCTTACACCTTTGAAAGGACATTCCTGCCCACCAAGGGGACATGATAGTTGTCCTGAGAAACTTCTGGCTCCAGCATACTGAGCGCCTTGGTTTCCCGTGGACATCCTTTTTTCAGTACTGTCTTTTTTCTTTGTATACCTTATCCTAGAAAGCACAACTTTTAGTCTATGCTAAATTGTACAGTTCCAACAAATGGGTGCTTTTGGTTTATCCTGCAGGTACACACCTGATACTCACCACACTT